TATTTATACTGTAGTTAAATAGGACTTTCTCATATATGCAGACAGATGTATTGGTGATTATGTTAGCCTGCAGGCACACTTTGGCCTGAGATCATGTTAGATTTCAGAAGAGAGGCTAAGAAAATGTGAGCTTTCTGTGCTTGGACAGATGGTCTTGGAAGACCTACATTACTGCTGAATCTGAGGATGATTTAGTGATTTTTGCTTTTTATATCCTGTACTGAACCAGTATTCTTCCAGGATGTGAGAGAACAGTATCTGGAGGTTTATCAAAGGTAGGACTGAACTTCCTCATCTGTGTGTTCATGTATGGTCTAACTGCGTATTCCCTAGCATAACAGTAGTAACATTTAACATTATAATCCATGCAGCCCAAAATTTGGTAAAGTTCTACTATCTCTGATTTGGAAACAAAGGATGTCATCATTAAATACCAATAACTTGCACATTTGTGTGGAAAAATGACATCAGAGAAACTGAAGTCCTTGCCTTCCTTTAGCTGTATTCACTTGACTACAGGTCTTTCCCAGAAATAAGATTGTTTAATTCTGGAGTTATCTTCAGTGCTCATTTTGCCTTTTTGAGTTTTCCCATGGTTTTACTTCATATTGACAATGTCTATTAAAATCCTGTAACACAAAGTTCTTCTAAGTTAATGGTTTCAGTCTCATTGACTTGGGTTTGATTATGAAGTCTATGGATCTTCTCAGTGATTTGAAAATCTCAAGGGAAGGCTCAGGCTTTTATGTAACAAACTTAGTTTATAGTCTGCTAAATATTTTTATGCACAGCCTGAAGAAATGGGAAAATGTGCCTCTCCTTATGACTGGTGTGGATGAAGTGATTCCCACATGTATGGTTTGTAAAGCAATCTGAGATATGCAGGTTCATTAATATGAAATGCAGGTGTGTTAAAATGGCAGCTGGCCATTTTATCTCTCTGCTGCACTGTGTTATTGCTTACATAATTAACTGTGAGATCCATTGTAAATTATGAAATTTTACAAGTAAGCAAAAGCTGAAGGCATAATGCATTGCTTCGATTTACCAGAAGTGGTGAGTTTTGTTTTTATAATGATTCCTAGTTATACTAATAAGTGGTCCCCGGAGTATTCTGTAAAGTAACCACATTCTAATAAAACACCTCGCTCCAGTGACTCTTATTAAATATTCTGTGAAAACGAAGGAGATACAGTAATTGTTTGTGATACTGCTGAGGGTGTAATTAACAAGGTTTGACTGTAGCTGGTAACCAAAATTAGCATACTTTCCACGTAAAAATCCCTGTTAACCGTGTTAAGATTCGTATTTCAGATGTATTCAGTAGATCAAGATAATGTAATACTTAATAAGCACCCTTCCTTGCCTGAATTTTGTTGAATTATGTGAGTACTTTGTTTAACTCCATTGCAAAGAATCCTCATAGAAAAAGAAGTCTCCAACAGCAGGAGTTTCTTTTTTGCCGGCTATCCCTAGGGAATCGGGGAGTCACTAAATGTGCATGCAGTGATGTCTCATCGGCTCCTTCCTTCCTACTCCTTGGCATAAGCTATAGCCTTGCTACTACCAAAATCTACCTTATTTTAAAATTATAGTCAGTGTTAATAGATGATGTGTACTTGGACAAAGTAAAAGTGAAACAAGAGAAACGATACAAGTTCTGAGCTGAAGCTGACATTTGAGCACAGAACAACGGCATGAGGAGGTGCAGGCTGGAAGCTAGAATCTGGTCTATTTTTAACTAGACAGTTGAAGATGGGGTGAAGAGCTGGGATGTTTGTTCAAAGTGGTAAATACAGAGGCAGTGGCTAGCTGGTAGTCAGCTCACACATCTGGAAAGGAGGATGAAGAACAGTGTGTAGTTAAAACAGCTGAATTTTCCAGTTTTGCAGACTCAGATTTTAAGGGGGCATTGATTTTTGTCAGTAGCAATAGATCCTAAAAGGGACTTGAGCTTAATTTGCATTTGAAGTCAAAGCCCTGGCAACATGCTGTTTGGAAAAGTGGACAAAATGTGCCACACAAGGCACGTGTGTTTGTATATTCCATAAATACAGATACTGAGAAAACCACTGATTTGGCAGCCCTGATGCCCTGACAGGGACATAGGAAGGAAGCAGCCTGGCAGTTGGCAAAGGGAAGACACAGCAGCAAGTGCTCATGCACAGTGCAGAGACAGCCATGGAATGAAAATGGTGCTGTTTAGGTTTACGTGTACGTGTTCAGTGTTTTTTTTGAGTTGTTGACTGAGACTTTCAGCAAAAGGAGCGCTTTTTTTACCAGGGCTTTGTGATTAATGGACATGACAAAGCTAGCGCTCCAGGATCAGTTTTTAATGACATTGTTCAGTTGCCTTTCTCTGGGCTAAATACCCCCAGATTGAACTTCTGGCTGCTACCTCACTGGGCCAATTTGTTAGCTCAGATCTTTGCAGAGGAGGAAGTCTCTGGTGTTTGGGGAGTTATTGTGAGATTACAGTTGATCTCAAGGCTACTGACTCGGTGGTTGTATTGTATCTGTGACCTCCTTTTTAGTCCGTACACTTTGGAGCCTGCAGTAGATTCCCTTTTATCATTGGGAAATAAATTACTCTGGCAAACTGTCAGGCTGTGCCTCTGGGAATTGTTTTCCTTTTTTTTCAACTGCATACACAAAATGCCTTTTTCTGACAGTGTGTAAAATACCTGGAAATCCTGGGATACTTCGCAGAAGAGTGCTTTGGGTTTTTATACTGTCCTGAGCTCCGCGTCTTCCCGTCAGGTCGCTTCAGAGGTAGGGACACGGGCTTGTTCGGTAGGTAAGGCTGCCACCTCGTGGGGTCCCTCTGCACAGCACCCTGCCCTGCGTGGGGACAAGGTGACAGCAGCCCTGGGGACCCCAAGGACTCTCAGCTCCTCAAAGGCTGAGGAAAGACTCCGATTTGCTTCGTGGTCTTTTCGGATCCATTGTCCAGGGTGACAAATTGTCAGCGCCGTTCATTCTGCTGGTGCTGCTAAAACAATTAGAAAAAGGTATTTTCACATAATTTATTCTTTCTAATTTGTAAAGCTTTCCCTCCTCTGAGCAGCTAAGTGTGCTGAAACTCTGGGAAATAATATGGAGCAGTATTTCAGAGCCAAAGCAAAAAATCAGTGGGACTTGTGTTCTTAAGTGGTTTGGGAAATCCCTCTTGTCACTGGCCATACCCCATAAACCCGCTGCTGCAGAGGCACATGTCTCTGTAGGGCACCTTCACGGGAGGGACTCCCGACTGCGCTGGGTGTCCCCTCAGCATCGCACAGCGTGCAGCTATGCCTGCTGTTGGTTGAAGGACAAAATGATAACAACTATTTAAATTACTGTTTCATAAATGTTAAGCAGGTGGCTGGAGCCGCCCACCCGTGCCCTAGCAGGTAAGCTGTTTCAAGTACACCACTGTGAAAATTCATTGTATTGATGCAGGAACTATGGAAGCTCCCACACCGAAAAAA